CCCCAGTGCCGCCCCCCTCCCCCCTCACAGACCCCGGAGCCGCAGCCCTTCTGCAAGGCCTTTATTCCCACGGCACAGCCCCCCCCCAAAACGAGGGACACCCCCCCGGCCACGCCCTGGCAGCGCCGCGGGGGGGGGGGCTGTCCCCGGGGGTCCCTGTGCACGGGGGTCCCGTCCCTGGGGGGGTCCCTGTCCCCGAGGACCCCCCAGCCCTGCCCGGGGTGGCCACGGGGGGGTCCCGGGGTCGGGGGGGGACACACTGACACCGAACAGGGACAGTGAGTGGTGACAGGAGACACGGGGGGGGCCCGGGGCCACCCCCGGGTGGGATATGGGGCAGGGGGGGTTGAAGGGGTTGGGGTTGAACCCTTTTTATGTACAAAGTTCCCGCTGCTCCTTCCCAGCTGGGGGGAAGGGGGGCAAAGGGGGGGACGGGGACACCCCCCTGGGGCAGCAGGGCCGGGCTGGGGTCCCCTGACCCCCCCTCCCCCCACCCAGGGCTCCCCCCCGGCTAAAAATAACTGGAGTGTTGGTATTAATGAGGATCGATAACGAGGAGAGGAGATGCCACGGCCCCGGGGGGAGGGACAGGGACGGGGAAGGGACGGGGGTCCCCACCCGGGGGGGCACCGGGGCCCGATCCTGCACGGGCACAGATCTGGGATCCGGGATCCAGGCCTGGGAGCCGTGGGTGGGCAGCTCCAGATGTGGAGCCACACAGCTGGGAGAGAGCTGGGAACGGTGGGGGGAGCTGGAGCCCACCTGAGCATCCTTCCTGTCCTGGAATATCCATCCCATCCCAGAGCATCCCATCCCAGAGCATCCCATCCCAGAGCATCCTTTCTGTCCAGGGATACCCATTCCACCTGAGCATCCTTCCTGTCCTGGAATATCCATCCCAGCCCATCCCAGAGCATCCTTCCTGTCCTGGAATATCCATCCCACCCCAGAGCATCCTTCCTGTCCAGGAATATCCATCCCATACCATCCCAGAGCATCCTTTCTGTCCAGGGATACCCATCCCATCCCAGAGCATCTTTCCTATCCAGGGATCTCCATCCCACTTGGAGCATCCATCCCTCCTGCCCTGGAGCATCCTCCAACCACAAATATCCATCCCATTCCAAAGCATCCATCCCAGCCTGGAGATTGCAGCCCCCACCAGAGCATCTCTCCATCCCTCCATCCATCTCTCCATCCATCTCTCCATCCATCCCCTCCCTGGAGCTTCCATCCTGC